GAAAGCTTTAACCGGAACGCCAAACCGGCTAACCCAACCATTTTAAAACCTAAAAGGGTTTTAACCATTTATTTAATAGCTTTTTCGACGGCCTTTTTATTTTAATGTTCGCCGTATTTAGCAATACCCAATTGCTTACCCCAAAAAGCACCGGGGTTTTGCTTTTATTATAGTACTTTTTGTACGTATTATTCGCTTTTTTTAGCAATTTTTTGGCTTGCTTTTTAATTGCTTCCAAAGCCCCCGCCTTAATTTTAACCGTTATTAAAGGTTTTTTTTTAACTACCCAAAAGTTATAAAGCTTTCGTAAATAAAACCCCATTAGCAAAAACGCCGGGGTTTTTTGCAACCCCAAATGCACGCTCGTATTGTGCACTTACGTTGCCAGGTATAACAACGACGCCCAATCGTTTTACTTTTCGCAATAAAAGCACCGGAAATAATGCTTTATTGCTTGGTTCGTCCGTTCCATTTGCCCGTTGGTTTAAAAGTGGTATGCTATCGATAGCTTTTTTGCAACCCCTAAATATCCGGCAAAGGTTATTTAAAACCCGTTTGTAAATAGCTTGTTCCGGTTCGATACAATCCTTTTAAACGTTTCCAGCAGCCTTTAAACGTATATAAATAAAAGGTTTCCCAATTTTTTACTGGTTAATTTTGTAAACGTCGGGATAAAAAAGCTATATTTAATAAACCGGTTAACCATTACCAATATTGCGTTGCGCTTTTTGCCGGCTTTATTTACTAACGTTAAAAACTTTCCGATAAAATTTATCGATAATTTTTGTCCCGGGCGGTTTAGCACGGGCAAAAATGCTAATAGCCCGTAAAGTGCTTGTATTTTTGGCTTCGTTTGCTGGCATATTTAATACGTTCGTACGTATTTGCGTACGTTTTTAGCTATACCCGGCCATTTAAATTACCGTTTAAGCTTTTTTAAAGTTTTGGCCATGCCTTTGTAACCCCCCGTCGGGTTATCGTATTGTTTTTAAAGCATTATTTGTTTAAACGGTGCTAAATTCGGAATTTAAACTTTTTTTTATGCTTAAGCAAACCGTTGCTAATTTTCCAAACGTTAGGCTTGTTTTTTTAAATATCGCTTTAAACGAAATCGTTTTTTGCTTGTACTTTAAAAATACGCTTTAATATCGTCCTGGTATTCTTTTTAATGGTAATCGTCCTTACGTAAATTGCTTTTCGGAATTTGGCTAATAAATCGTTTCGGAATTTTTTTTTTGCTATATTGGCCTTTCCGTCCATTGGTATATTTTAAAAACGTTTTAATAAGCCATTTGCAAAGTTCCGGTATTTTAATTTCCATTTAATCGTAAAATCGTACTTTGTTAAATCTTTAAATTACTTTGCTTAGCGCTTTATTACCTTTTTTTTTGTTAAAATATAGGTATAATTTAAATAATCGGTAATTACCCTAACAATTTTTTATAAATAAGCCAAATAATGCCGTTACTTTTCGAAAGCTTTTACGATCGCTAGCAATTTTAAATTAAAAATTGCATAACGTAACTTTTTTTATCGCAATTTTTTCGATATGTAAATTACCGGGTGTTACCGGCCGTTTTATAGTTGCAATAGCACCGCCTTTATCGCAAAAACCAAAACGTTAGTCCGTACGCACAGCGGTTTCGAAAGGTCGAAATGTACCAATACCGGAACTTTCGTAAATAACAATTTTAATTTGCAAAAAGCCTTTTTCGCAATATTTCCTAAGTAAAATACAGTATTTTTGCTAAAAAAATCCGTTAAAAGTACAATAATTTTCGCGTAGCCTTTTACGAATTTCCGATAATACCTCGTAAAGCCCAAAAATACCTAAATATCCTTAACGTTTTCCGGTATTTTCCATTTTAAAATTGCAATAACTTTGTCCGGCAAAATCTTAACCTCGAATTTGGTTATTTTAAACTTTAAAAAGTTGATACTATCCGTTTTAAATTTGCATTTGGCCGGGCTAACGTAAAGTTTAAACCGTTCGAATCGTTTTAGCACCGTTTTTACTATTTCGCGGTACTTTTTTTGTATTTTCGAAAAAATAAAAATGTTATTTAAATATACAATGCAATTGCTATTAATTAATTTTTTAAGCGCTATATTAATAAAACTTTAAAACGTTGTTAAAACGTTGGCCAAACCGAAAAGCATTATTAAGTATTCGTAATGTTTATATTTGCAGCAAAAAGCAATTTTCCATTCGTTTTTTTATTGGATCCGTATTTTGTAATAAGCGTTTTTTAAATTTAATTTGGTAAAATACTAGCTTTTAAATACCCGGTCGAATATTTCGTAAATTAACGGAAATGCTAACCGGTTTTTTTTGGTAATTTTATTAAAACCCCAATAATCGATACAAAAGCAAAACTTTCCGTCCTTTTTTAAAACGAACAAAATTCCGGCGCCGGCGGGGCTAATTAAATGCCAAATCCAACCTTTCGCTATAGCTTTATCGAAATACCCCCGGAAAGTTTTTAATTCCTTTTCGAATAAAGGATAAATGCTTCCGTAAAGCGGTATCGTTTTTTTTTTTAATTCGATCGCGTAATTTTAACCTATATGTTTTAGCAAAGGGTTTAATTTATAAAATTGCGCATATTTTATAACTATCCTTTTAACCCATTCCGGGAAAGCTTTTAGCCTTTCCCCGGGGTTTTTTAAGGTTTTCGAGCGTGCAACCGTTAATACGGCTATCGTTTGTCCCGATTGGATTAGCTTTTTAATTATTTCCAACGAAATTATTTTAACCTTTTTAATAATTACCGAAAACCTTTATTTTATATCCCCAAACCGGATTTTAATATCCTTTTGCTAAAACCAAAGCATGCTTAACGTAATGTTGTACCCGGCCCGAAGCATTATTACGTAAAATACCATTAACTTTCGGGTTATTTCCTAGCTATCCGTTACCCAAATTTTATATTTTTTTACCTTTAGCGTAAGCATGCGTTTTTTAATATCGAGCTACGCCAAATAGCCCCCGTTTAGCACCGGTATTTTTTTTGCTTTTATTAAAAAACGGTTGTGCAACAAATTAACGTCGTTTTTATTATTAACCAGCGCTTTTAACTTTACCCGGTAACCGTTAATTCGTAAATACACTTCGGTTTTTTAGCGCGTCCTAGCCGCCGAAGCGCACCTTTAAACCCCGGTATTTAAACGGCTAAATAGCGGTATCGAATTAAGTAGCGATATTTTGCTTTTTTTGGGGCACGCCGGCCGGATATAGCCCAATTCCCCATACCCGTAACACCGTACTTCGGGCCTTTTCCCCTTCGCCCTTTGTATAATCGCTGGGGCCAACGGGGTTTCCGGGTTATCCGTCCGTATTTTGCATGCTGCAGCAATATGGCCTAACTGCCCGTACTTAAAGCAAATAACCGGCTTTTTAAAAGCTGGAATATTTATATCCCCCGGGGTCCCTTTGTACGGTTCCAATATTATTTTTGCTTTAAAAGCTTTGGCTTACAATTTTTCCATAATATAAAAAAGGTTTCCAAATATTACCCGTTTTTAAATTTCGGGGCGGAACCGGTTAAAAAGCAATGTCGTTTTTATCCATTTGGGTGCTAATTCGGAAAAATCGTTTTTTACCAAATCCCAACAAATCCGGAACGCTTCGAACGATTTGTAATCCTTTTGTTTAATAACGGTATTTCCCGCAAATTTTTTAATTGCTAGCTACATTTGCAAATCGAAATTTTTCGACTTTGTTTAAAACTATCGCAAAAAATTGGTTTAAATAAACAATACCCCGGTATTTAAATAATGCATTTGCTTATATTTTGTTTATTATATTTGCTAACGATAATTAAAAGTGCTGGAAATTATTTAAACCTTTATACGGTTTTTACCGTAGCGTTCTTTTTTGCTTTCGAAAATAAATTCGTAATCGTTAATATAATGGGCGATATTTTGCTAAATTGCCAATTTTTTAAACATGGAAAGCTTAAAAGTAATTTTGCTTTACGTAAAACCTTTTCGTTGCTTAAAAATATTTTTTTTATTTTCGTTTAAACCTTTATGCGCATGCTTTAACCTTTTATTTTAAATTTTTTGGATTAAACGGGCGCGTTTGCTTTAAATTTCCAGCGCGTCGTTTATTTTTTGCAATTCCTTTACGAAAAGGTTTTTAAAATCGTTAAAAATTTGCAAAGCTTCCTTAGTATTTTGTTCCGGTAGCCCAACGGCCTTTTCCAACGTGCTCGATGTAGCGTCGGGCGTTATTGTAAACGGTACAAAATTGCAAATGCCCTTTTTAAATTTGTTCGATCCTTTCCGGTAATTACCCGGGCTTGCTTCCCAAATAAAAAAAGTGTAAAAAAAAAACAATATGTTAAAGGTTAATCGGTACAAAAGCGGGTGGTTACCGGGTTACGGGCCGGATGCGGTATTTTTTTTATTAAATTTCCGTAAATTTTTTACCAAAAGTGCTATCGCTAACAAAAATTGTTTTTTTTTAACTTTCCTTTTTTTCGTTCCCTTTGGGCACCCGGGGTTGGTTTTTTAAATCTTTCGCGCTTTAAGCGCTTTCGTGCAATTTAAGCTTTACCTTATTTTTTAGCTTTGCCATTATACTTTGGCCGCAATACCGGTAGCTCGCCGGCATATTCCCGGGGGTCCGTGCCCGGCTGGTTGCTAGCGCCCCCTTTTTCCTTTTTTGCCGGGCGGTTTCGCCCGTGCATTTAACGCTCCCCGCTTTTTACCGGGCGGTTTCGCCCGTGCTCCTAACACGGACGGCTTAAAAATTACCAAACCAACGATAGCTTTAGTAATAACGGGCTTACCAACCAGCAAATTTTAACCTTTTTTTAACAATAAAAGCAAAGCGGAACATTAATTAAAGCTAATAAAAGCATTTAGCGCCAAAAACCCGCATAAAAATATCGAACGGGTTACCGTTTCGTTATGGAAAAAAAAAGGTAGCAAAAAAAAAATAACGGCGTTGTTTTAAATTGCAAGCTTAAAAAGCGCAATAAATTTGCAAAAGGATTACTTTCGATAGGATAAATTGGCATACCAATGCCAACTTTTTAACCCCGAATTAATTACGGCGCAATGTTACCGCTATTTAAATTAAGGATATAAAAGCATGCAATGCAAGCAAATTACGGCGTGTACGTAATATAAATTAAAAAAATACAACGATAAACGGAAAAAAAAAAAAGGAAACAGCAAAAAAGTTACCGAAAAATATATTTGGGGCATTTTATATTCCGTACAACAAGGCTAAATACTTATTTTATTTTTTACATTGCTTAATGCAAAAATAAATTTAATAACGCAAAAAAAAAGCCTAGCTTACAAAGCTTACCCATTACGAAATCCCGATAACCTTTATTTCGAAATCGTTACGAGCCGAATCGCCGCCGGAAACGGGGCGGGCAAAATCCCCTTTTTTACCCCGGGAAAAAGCAGCCTTTATACGGGAGCAAAAAGGAACCGATTAAGCAAAAAAAAACAATAGCCTTTTTGCAACAACCTTTTTTTAAATACCAATAACAATTCGAAATACAACCCCGCCGACCGAAAAAACCTTTATACGCAACGAAATCGACGCAAAGTTAAAATTACCCTTTTTTTAACCAATTTTACTTACAAAACGGAAAAAGAATTTTTTAAAATCGGCCGAACGATTTGTAAAAAGGTTTAAAAAGTTTTATACGGCAAAACGAAAAAACGCAGTTATTACGCTATTTGTAAAAAACCAAAGCTTACGCATTTTAAAGCCTTTTCCCCCCCGCACCCCCCCCGCGGACCCCTTAACAAAACCCATTTCCCCGGCGATACCCGCGTTCCTTTTACCGCTACGGGAAGTAACAGGAAAGGCCAGCCAAAAAGCTTTACCCTTTTCCAATTATCCAGTAATACATAATCTTTTAGCATTTAATTATACAAAAAGGAAGCGTTAACGTTACCGCCCCCCCCCCCCCAAAAGCAAAAAAGGACCTTTTTAACGAAAAAACCAATGTTTAAAGTTTTTTAATGGAACGTAGCGAAAAAACCGGAAATATTTAACGCATTACTGGCAAAAGGAAGCAGCTTTAACGTATTAGCGATACAAAAGCTACCAAAGGATTTGAAAAGGAACGCTAAATTTTCGTTATGGGCCGGGAAAAAGCTAATCCAATATATATACAACCTTACCCCGCAGCAACCATACGGCAACTTACCGGAATCCTTTTAAAACCGCTAAAAAAAAAGCAACGCGTTTTCCCTTTTTTTACCATTACAATTTATTTCCCCCTTTTTCCCCATTACCAAAGCAATTATTTATATTAAATTAACGTTACGTATTTTAAATTACAAAGCAAAACCGGATTGGTATAAAATTACGATTGGTACCCAAAACGAAAATATAACGATTTGGTCGGTTTATTCCCCGTTTCCGGGAAGCACAACCATTATAAATTGGATAATATTTATTAACGAATTTGCCGGAAAAAAACCGAAAAGCAATAGCTTAATAATAAAAAACTTTAATTTTTATTATAAAGCATGGATATTAAAACGCTTAAAAAACGCACCGATGCACGCGGGGGCTTCCAAATTGGTTGGTTTAACGAAATTATAAAGCATGCAATTAATAATTTGCCGAAATGCAGCGACGAGGTTCGCTTTTTATTGCAAAAACATTATTATCGATTTAATTTGGGCTACCGGAAAATTAAAAACCCAATAGCCGTTAAAATGGCGTTAAAGTAGCAACAATTATATAAGGATGGTAATTACGATTTTAAAAACCATTTCGAACTTTTACGCACCAATTTTAAAGGGCTAAAATTGGAAGAAAATCGATAAAAAATTCGCCAAATCCTTAGCAAACGATAGGATTCCCTTTTCGTTACGACCATTTATTAACCTTTAAGCAATTAACGAAAAAATAAACGACATGTTACGACTAACAACCACCCTTACCCAGGAAGAAGGGGTGGCACGGCACGGAAACCCGTAAAGGGTAAGGGGTTACGTAACCACTTGGGATCAGTAAATCGGGAAAGCAGGAAAGGTAAACCACTAATTCAAAAGAGGTTTAAAAAGGCTTACAAAATCGGCTTCGTAAGCCAACCGATCCACGACCCCAAAGGAATAAGCATTAAAATATAAAAAGGAAAGGGTTTTTTATTGTCCTAGGTAGTTTTTAATTAAAGCCTTGGCATTAATTAAATTTTAATTAGCTTCCAAATAACTTTTAAAGCAAGCATTTAAACCGCACCCAAATTATTTTGTAAATTCTTTTAATTTGTTAAATTACGTGCTATTGTTCGATACTTTTTTGGTGCTTTACTTTAAAAGCAAAGGCTTAATTATAACCTTTTAATTAATCCTATTTAGCACCCGGACCGGTACCGAACAGTAACAATGGCAACCAAAAGCGGCAAATCCTTTACAAAAAGGAACGACGAGCATTTTAATTACGCAAAAAAAACTTACAACATAATAAAAGTAACGGAAGCTAAAGCCGCGTTTATAGCTATAACCGCAAACCTTACCCAATTTAAGCAATAAGCTAGCGTTCCGCAAACGGCGGTTCGAACTTACAAATTTTTTACCCCTAACCGGTACAACGGTAAAAAAGGCACTTTTAAAGCTTTTTTAACCAAATGTTAAAGGTATTTCGCCTTTTGCTAAATTTAATTTACAATTAAAAAACAAAAGGTTGCTTACGCAATTACCCGCTTTAAAAGCAAAATAAAAAAATGGTTCGAGCCCGTATGGGCAAACTTTTTTAAAAGCTATAACAAAAACAAAAAAAAATAAAAATTACTTTTGCTAGCTTTATTCGGTTTAAAAAAAAGATTATTAGCGTGTTTGGCCAAATTAACGAATAACGAATTGCCGAAAAAAAAATATTTTAATTTCGACAAAAAGGCGCGGCGTTGGGGTACGTTTCCAATTTCCAACGCTTTGTTAACAAGCTTAACTGGACCAACCAAACCAAAATAACCCATTTGTACAATAAGCTTCGAAATAACGTAAAAAACAAGGTTTTAAAGGTTAACTAACCCAAATTTTTTACCAAATACGTTATTATAGTAATTAAAACCAATAATAAATTGTACGAGCGCCGTTTGGAAAAAAAAGGCCAAAAAACCAAATTTGTAATATAAAGCAACCAACCGTAACAACGGTTTAACCGCAACAAATTTATAGCTTATGGGCGTTATTTTAGCTTTATGGACCTTAACGCCGGCGTTACGCATTAAGGGCAAAGGAAACGCAAGTTTTAAAACTTTAAGGATGGTAAGTGCTTCCAATATAAACAATTTAAGCACATTAAAAAAAACTGCTTTTAAAAAAAAAGCAAAAAAAAGTATTTTGGGGCGACAAACCCAAAATAGCAGCAATAACCAAAAAAAAACAATAAATTTGGAAAATAACGGCTGTTTTGGCCCAACGTTTTTTTAAATTGCGTGCATTAACAACCATTGCGTTGCCCACCATTCCAACAAAAATGCAAC